CAAAGACAAATTGGATTATTCTTATACCCTTCTTTCAACAGGTACTCACTCGGGCGATTATACCACATGCGCTCTGATTGTTTCAGTCCGTATAAGAAGGTTTATTGAACAAGTTTTTCGAAAACTTTTATACGTTTCGGGCACTTTAAATCCTTCAGGGATTCTCATAAAATTTCATTGTCTAATGAGCCATACAAATAGGCTGTGACAACATCCATTAGATGCATATCAAGTTTTTCATGCACTGCCAGATTTATAAGATACCTAAACATGATAGCATCCACCATAGGAGAATATGTCTCTATATAATCAATGTCAGGTCTTTGTAAAACTCCTTGCCCCACAAGTTGTGTTTTATATTTAACGACTTCATTTTTATTATTTTGTTTTTGCACAAAAACCCATTTGTTCCTTATTGCCTTTATACCTTTAGGTGTTCAAACTATAAGTCCGAAGATTTCATGTTTTCCAAGTGAAGTTAATTCTTCCTGGATAATGTCTTTCAGTTTGGCCAATCATTTCTCTGTCTACATTCATCGACAGATTTTGGTTCAAGATCTTCATCTTATTGCATTATTTCAACAACAACATTATAAGCAAAAACGTTTTCATAGCAATATTATTTCGGTTTCATTTTTTTCTCGTTAAGACATAACTTATTGAGATATCTTCATTCTCGTTATTTTCAGGTACCTGGGCCTCCCTTGAGGTCTTATCATTTATTATGTCTTGGGGCTCTTCTTAAGCCACTACATCCGTGTTATGATCACTTTGATCATTTGCTCCTTTTCTTCTTCGAGAATTTTTATCTTTAGAATCGATTGGTCTACCACGTCTCAAGTGTGACTTAGACTCGTTTGCTTTAATTGATTGTCCTGCTGGGATATCAACTCAAGTGGAGCATTAGCAGATGGAATATGTGACTTAGTCACCCTTGGTAGGTCAGTGAATTTATCTGTCAATTGATTTGCAATATTTTACAAATGAATTATCTTTGAACCTCTTGTTCACATTGATTTATTCGAGGATCTAAATGAGATAGCGATAATGCACTCCAATCTATCTCCTTTTTCAACTGCTTATTTTCTCCGCCCTAATGTTGGGTATACTGATTAATCAAAATGGCAATTAGAAAATTTTGTCGTAAATAAATCTCCAGTCATAGGCTCCAGATATTTTGTAATAGAAGGAGATTCATATCTAACATATATCCCCAATCTTCTTTGGGGATACATCTTTGTGCGTTGTGGTGGAGAAACTGAAACATATATCGCACAACCAAAGATTCTAAGATGAAAAATATTTGGCTCCTGGCCAAACAACCAATTGCAATTGGAAGACTTTATGATAACTTGTAGGCCTTATCCGCACTAGTGTTGCTGCATGCAAAATAACATGACCCCATACTAAAATGAGAAGTTTTATTCTCATAAGCATTGGTCTAGCAATTAATTGGAGGCGTTTGATCAATGATTCTGCTAGACCATTTTGTGTATGAATATGAGCAACCAAATGTTCAATTTTTATCCTAGTTGATATACAGTAATCATTAAAGGCTTGGGATGTAAAATCACTATCATAATCAAGACGAATTGTCTTAATTGCATAATCTGAAAATTGTGCTCTTAGCTTTATTATTTGAGCCAACAATCTCGCGAATGCCATATTGCGAGTTGATAGTAAGCACACATGTGATCATCTTGTAGATGCATCTACCAAAACCATATAATATCTGAATGGTCCACATGGAGGGTGAATGGTCTCACATATATCACCCTGTATATGTTCTAGAAATGCAGGGGATTCTATCCGAACTTTAATAGTTGATGGTCTAATAATTAATTTGCCTTGAGAACATGCAGCACAAGAGAATTTCTTAGACTGAAGAATATTTTGATTCTTCATTGAATGTCCATGTGAATTCTAAATTATTTTACGCATCATAGTAGAACTAGGATGGGCCAACCGGTTATTCCAAATAATAAAATTATCTTGATTAGTAAACTTCTCGTTTACTACGGCATGTGTTTCAATCCTGCTAATACTTGTGTAGTATAAGCCGGAGGAAAGAACATGTAACATTTCAAGCACATATTTCTTACCAAACATTATTGTAGTAATATAAGGATGTTCAATCTTTTCATCATTTACAGTCTCAATATGGTAGCCATTTTGGCGAATATCTTTAAAACTTAATAAGTTTCTTTGATATTTACTACAATATAGCGCTTCATCAATAGCCAAATCTATTCCTCCTGGTAGTAATAAATTAGCTCTTCCAGAACTTTCATTTAATCTTGTACTACTGAATATTGTATTAACATTGGCTTCTTTCATTACCAAATAAGAGAAATATCTCTTGTCTCTTAAAATAGTATGTGTTGTAGCACTATCCAAAAGACATATATCATCTTTATTAATCTTGAATCCAACTGAAGATTGGAAAATTTTCATATTCTTCATAAAGAAATCAAAAAGTACATCATCAGAAATATGAAAGACTAACAGAAAAGAACATTAAGAAATACATTACGAATGTAGAAACTAGCAATACATGATGCATTAGGGAAAATACACTCAAGGAAAATAAACCAGTTGCAAACATAAAATGAAAAAATAACAACTTTTATAATAGCTTCATTCCCCAATAAGATGATTAGTTCTTCAGTCAATATCCTCAAAGAAGTCTCCAGCTTCTAAATTAGTAATATTTGCAAAGCCTTCAAAATCATTATCTTTATATGCAAGATGTGCCCCAGAATCATATTTGTTTGAAGTACTTGCTTCCTCATCATTATTTTGAAAGGTCAAGTGTGCTTCCACATTGTTTTCTTTCTTTCTGAGGGAGGCTTGATAAAGTGTGACAAAATAATCTGGCGTACGACAAATACGTGCCCAATGACCTTATATACCACATCGGTGGCACACATTAGTTTTACTTTTTGAAGGATTAATTTGAGAACCCTTATTGTTCTTCTGTTTATTTTCACCATGATGACAATAATCATTTCGTCCCCTGCCATGTCCACGTCTTCTACTATGTCCACGACTACGGTAATTATTTTGTTTTCTTTCAGACTTATCATTTGCAGCTACAACTTCATTTCTGGGAATGGAGCTGACTTATTGGGACGAGCTTCATGAATTTTCATTAATAGAGTATTATTCTGCTCAGCCATAAGTAGGCATGTGATTAACTCAGAATATTTCTTAAAACCCTTCTCACGGTATTGTTGTTGTAGCACTACATTCGAAGCGTGAAAAGTGATTTTTTGTAAGAAGTCTCATTTGTGATAGTGTCTTCACATAATTTTAACTGAGAACTTACTTTGAAAATAACAAAATTATACTCACTATTTTAAAGTCGTGCAACCTTAAATGTATCCATTCACATCGAGCTTTTGGTAATACCGTAAGTTTTAAGTGGTCATATCGATTCTTCTAATTATTTCATGATTCAAGTGGGTCTTTTACGGTTAAATATTCAGTCTTTAACCCTTCATGTAGATGATGACGAAGGAAGATCATGGCATTCGCTATATCCTAATTTGATGCTTCATTTCCTTGTATAATAGTATTTTCACGACCTTTAGCGTCAAGGTGAATTTCAGCATCAAGGACCCATGATAAATAGTTCTTCCCGGTGATGTCAAGTGCCACAAATTCAAGTTTTGATAAATTTGACATAGTAAAAACTATCATAAAAGATAAATAAGTTAGAGAAATAATTATGTAAATAAACAATTAATGGAACAAAACGATTAAGGGGAAAAAGAAACGAAAATAGAGTTATATCATGTAAACATCCTACTATTTCATTTCATTCTGGCCATAAAGTGAAAACAACATACTGTTTCATTTCACTTTATATTATTGATATATATGTATATATATATGTGTGTGTATGTGTGTGTGTGTAGAATTGAACGCGACAAACATTATTTATATGTTCCAATACAATAAATATAGAGTAATTAAACCAATATAAAATTATTACTTGTCACTTTATTTCTCACAGTTCTTCAAAAGGCCTTAAAAAAGGCCTTAAAGATATGTTTTGATCCAGGAAGTTCATGATATTATAAATAGTTTCATTAGTGGGTAGCTAGTTTGATGACTTTGAGGTCATCTAAGAGTTAAGCACCGAAGGAAATGATTATTTTATCACTGCAATGTACTTAAACTATTTAAGATGTCCAAGAGCACAAGTAATCTGCAAATAGTAAGCCTATGATATGTACTGCCATAAACAAAATGAATATAATGATACATACCTTAATAAAATATGACTCAACTTAGCGGGGTTAAGGATAAAATTAGAGTTTCGCGCTGATAACGTGTTATAAAATAAAAATAATTTAGTAATCTGCAAATAGTAAGCCTATGATATGTACTGCCATAAACAAAATGAATATAATGATACATACCTTAATAAAATATGACTCAACTTAGCGGGGTTAAGGATAAAATTAAAGCTTCGTGCTGATAACATGTTATAAAATAAAAATAATTTAGTAATCTGCAAATAGTGAGCATATGATATGTACTGCCATAAACAAAATGAATATAATGATACATACCTTAATAAAATATGACTCAACTTAGCAGGGTTAAGGATAAAATTAGAGTTTCGCGCTGATAACGTGTTATAAAATAAAAATAATTTAGTAAAATATAAATAAGAAACAGAGATAGAAAGGAAGAGTATTTCACTTCCTTTTGGTGTGTCTTTCCACTGCCATTTACATAACCTTTTATAAGCATAAAAAGTAAGGACTACTACAGTAAAACAATGTAAGGGATGTGGAAATCCATCCACAAACTATTCATACATGGACTTCATCCACATACTATTTACAACAACTAAACATTAATTTGAAATAGAAGTAAAACTTTAAATCAGATTGCCAGTCTTTTGCATAGTTTTGTTCATCAGTTTTATGGTCAATGCTGGAGGAACAAAGCAAAGGGGGTCAATGCTGGAGGAACAAAGCAAAGGGGAGGAATCTCCAGAATTGAGTTCATTTAATTCACATAACACAGTACAGAACCACAATGCTAAGATTGCGCTTCAATGATCCAACAATCACCAAATAGCTTCTATAAAAAATGAAATTACATTCGCAAACAAAAGCTTCCAATCCGCAAATCAATCCGTGGAGCGATGGTTTGTGAGATTCTTCTGTACACGGTGTCTCTCAGACATTTTCTCATGATATAATTAACAAATCTAACAGGATAAAATAATAAAAAAGAAGACTCGAGTTTTATATATTTGATTGTCGGTCAGACCAGAAACTTAGCACACATGAAGCTTTGACTCAACTAGTGAAAGTTTAGGTCAGATCATCTTCATCCAAAGGCTCTTCATTATCTTTCGTGACTTCGTTCTTGAACGCACTTACATCCCCGGTAGGCAATTTCCTCGCAATCTTGATGATCTGGATTTATTGCAATTTGTGTTAAATGTTAATATAGCAAGTTGAATGGATTATTGAATGGCTTAAGTACACACACTCATAAACAACACAAGTACAATTAGATGTAGGTGCAGGAAAGAAGGGGAAAGGGAAGGAAAATAGTTATCACACAAATGAAGCTTCTTGCTTATGCATCTTAATTTCCTTACTTTTTCGTCCAAGTGCAAATTAAAATCTCAAGTTCAGCGTTAACTGTGAAGCATTGAGCATTGACAATGATCTAGAAGCTAATCATGAAACAGCTATGCAGACCAAACAAGAAAAAATTTTGCAGTTCAATTAATGAATTGACTCTTTGAATTCTGGGAGAAAGTTCTGAAGCAAGTAGGAAAAATACAATACTGAGTAAACGACTTACAAAAACAAATATCAAATAAAAAGTCAAAAACAAATATCAAAGAAAAAGTAGAAGTTTTTATCAGTCGGGACAATTTAGCAGAAAAGATGCTCCAAAAATCTTATAGCTAGAAAACTACAGAACCGGTCACTTGCGGGAGAGAAAACAGTTGGATTGAGGAATGTCTAGTTTAAATAGAAACCTGGCGATACCCCATTCCAACCATTCTTACCAAAAAGCTAAGAACTAACCTACCCACTTATTGTCATTCAAGACGATGTTACAAGCCTAAGCACAACAGCCATCCAAATAATTGAAATAGTAGGCATTTGCAACTCAATATTGTCAAAAGAGCTACTCTGGGCCATGCTAAATTTGTCAGAGTGCTGTGAGAAAGCACGGGAGAAAATATTATTGATTAATACTCTATGTTACAATGAGCCCTATTTATATGTATTCATAACACATAACCTATTCCTATTACATAAGGGGCTAGGACTAATTACATATATTCACATAACTATTGTAACACTCCCCCTCAAGCTGGTGCATATAAATCATATGTACCGAGCTTGTTACATATGTAGTTAATACGAGGACCAATGAGGGACTTGGTGAAAATATTTGCAAGCTGATCATTCGACTTCATAAACTTTGTAGCAATATCTCTCGAGAATATCTTTTCTCTAACAAAGTGACAGTCAATCTCAATGTGCTTAGTTCTCTTATGGAATATTGGATTTGACGCAATATGAAAAGCCAGTTGATTATCACACACAAGTCTCATCTGATTAATCTTTACCAAATTTCAACTCCTTGAGCAACTGTTTGATCCAAATTAGCTCACATGTCGCCATAACCATTGCTCGATATTCTGCTTATGCACTAGACCGAGCAACCATATTTTGTTTCTTGCTCTTCCAAGACACCAAATTTCCTCCTACCAAGACACAATATCCAGACGTAGAACGTCTATCAGAAGGTAATCCTGCCCAATCAACATCTGAGTATCCAACGATTTGCTCATGGCCTCGATCCTCAAACAATAAACCATTGCCTGGATCTGATTTTAAATACCGAAGAATGTGGACAACTGCATCCCAATGACTATCACAGGAAGAATCCATAAACTGACTCACAACACTCACAGGAAAGGAAATGCCAGGTCTAGTCACTGTGAGGTAATTTAATTTACCAACCAATCGCCTATATCTTGCAGGATCGCTAAGAGGCTCCCCTGTCCTGGCAGAAGTTTAGAATTTGGATCCATTGGAGTGTCAACAGGTCTACAACCTGTCATTCCTATCTCCTCAAAAATATCTAAGGCATACTTCCGTTGTGAGATCACAATACATGAGCTAGACTGAGCGACCTCAATACCCAGAAAATACTTTAATCTGCCCAAATCCTTAGTCTGAAAGTGCTGAAAGAGATGTTGCTTCAACTTACTAATACCATCCTGATCATTGCCGGTAATAACAATATCGTCAACATAAACTACCAGATAAATACAGAGATTTGAAGCAGAATGCCGATAAAACACAGAGTGATCAGCTTCACTACGAGTCATGCCAAACTCCTGAATAACTGTGTTGGACTTACCAAACCAGGCTCGAGAAGACTGCTTTAGACCATAAAGGGACTGGCACAACCGACATACAAGGCCATTAGATTTCCCCTGAGCAACAAAACCAGGTTGTTGCTCCATATAAACCTCATCCTCAAGGTCACCGTGAAAAAAAGCATTTTTAATGTCCAACTGATAGAGAGGTCAATGGCGAACAACAGTCATGGATAGAAAAAGGCGGACTGGTGCTATTTTAGACATGGGAGAGAGTATCACTGTAATCGAGTCTAAATATCTGAGTATACCCTTTGGCAACAAGATGAGCCTTAAGTCGATCAACCTAGCCATCTGGACCAACTTTGACTGCATATACCCAACGACAACCAACAGTCGATTTACCCGAAGGAAGAGGAACAAGCTCCCAAGTACCACTCGTATGTAAAGCAGACATCTCATCAATCATAGTTTGTCGCCACCCTGGATGAGACAGTGCTTCACCTGTAGACTTAGGGATGGAAACAGAGGACAAAGATGATACAAATGCACAATAGGATAATGACACACGATGGTAACTTAAACCGACATAACAGGGGTTAGGATTAAGTGTGGAGCGTATATCTTTTTGTAGTGCAATCGGTTGACTAAGAGGAGACAAGTCCGCAGTATTAGCAGGGTCAGGTGCAGGACGTGAATCAGTTGGGCCTGATGCTAGGCGCGGACAACGATGATAAGTCAGGAGTGTTGGAGATGTAGAAGGTTGAACTTGATTAGGGGTGGCACTGGAGCTATAGTTGGTGGAACTGGACTAGGTGGTGGCACTGGAACTATAGGTGGCGGAGCTGCAAATGGAGCTATGGAGGAAGATGAACGGGAGATAGTGACTGAATTTCCAAAAGACGGAACTGGTAGCACCTCAAAAATATCTAAGTGATTACCTGGACCTGTGAAGTATGATTGAGTTTCAAAGAAGGTGACATCAGCAGACATAAGATACCGCTGGAGGTCAGGAGAATAGCATCGATATCCCTTTTGCGTTCTCGAGTAACCCAAAAATACGCACTTAAGAGCACGAGGAGCTAACTTATCTTCTTCTAGAGTAAAGTTATGAACAAAACATGTACTCCCAAAGACACGAGGTGAAAGAGAGAACAAAGGTAAGGGGGGAAACATGATAGAGAATTGAATTTGATTCTGTTTAGCTGAAGATGACATACGATTAATAAGATACCAAGATGTAAGAACGGCATCCCCCAAAAATGCAGCGGAACATGAGATTGTATGAGTAGGGTACTAACAGTTTAAATAAGATGTCTATTCTTTCTTTCAGCTACCCCATTTTGTTGGGATGTGTACGGACAAGATGTTTGATGAATAATCCCATGGGAGTTCATAAACTGCTGAAATGGGGAAGACAAATACTCTAGGGCATTATCACTACGAAATGTGCGGATAGAAACGGGAAAATGGTTTTGAATTTCAGCGTGGAATGTCTGAAAAATAGAAAACAACTCAGATCGATTTTTCATCAAAAATATCCAAGTGCACCTGGAATAATTATCAATGAAACTGACAACGTAGCGGAATCCCAAGGTAGAACTGACCCGACTAGGACCCCAAACATCTGAATGGACTAAAGTAAAATGTGACTGCTCGATTATCAAGACGCCGCGGGAAATAGGAGAGGGTATGCTTACCGAGCTGACATGACTCACACTATAGAATGGACAAGTGAGATAAGTCAGGTACCATTTTCTGAAGTTCTGACAAACTAGGATGTCCCAACCGTTTATGTAATAAATCTGGTGAATCAGTAACATGACAAGTTGTTAAAGGAAGACAAGATGTGAATCCATGTGATTTTGCAAGGATAAGGTAATAAAGTCCACCTGATTCACGTCCGGTACCAATGATCCGCCCCGTACTGCATTCATGTATAAAAACAAGGTCATCAAGAAATAAAACAGCAAATTTAAGTGATTTGACTAAGCGACTAACATCTATGAGATTAAAAGGACTACCGGAAACATAAAGAACTGAGCCTAAAGGTAAGGAAGGAAGTGGACTTGCTTGACCTATTGCAGTTGCCATGGTTTGAGACCCATTGGCCATTGTGACTGTTGGAAGAGATTGAGTATGAAATACTAGTGAAAAGAGAATTGTTACCAGAAATATGATCAGATGCACCTTAATCAATGACCCAAGACTCAAAGGTTGAAGACTGGGAGACACAAGTCACGCTACTATCTGTTGGAACAACGGAGGCTAATCCTGAAGATGTCTGTTACGTGCTTTGTACGGAAGGAACTCAATATAATCTGGTAAAGAAACCATCTGGATTGGATTCAATGCACAATGCATTCGATCCAACGGATTGTGAGTCTCAAGGCTTCTAATACGAATGACATTATAATGTTCACGCTGGAAAAATCGGAAACCCTTTTGGAAATTACTATTAATGCCAGAAAATTTTCTGAAAATCATTGTTCACGCCGAAAAAATATAAAAGTGGTCAGAATTTGGTTTAAATTGGATGGGTAGGCTCGGAATTTCAAGGCGATTACACTGTCCAAAAGAAATTTTTCCAAATTCTGATCGGAACAGCCCTCATATGTCGACGCGTGGGGGCGCGTGAGTGGGAATTTTCAGGTGACTTTTTCTAAGGTTTGGTCGCCTATCTCTTGGGAACCTTTTGGTGTTGTTGGATTTCACAACATTGATAATTAGTGACTTTGACGCAAATAGTCACTTAGGTCACCGGAAAATCGCACTGTGACTAAGTTCTTTCTTCCTGGATGTCGTTGGAATGACGCACAATGATCTCTTCTCACCAAAGCTCTGATATCATGTGAGAAAGCAACAACAACAACAACATACCCAGTAAAATCCCACTAGTGGGGTCTGGGGAGGGTAGGATGTACGCAGACCTTACCCCTACCCCGGAAGGGTAGAGAGGTTGTTTCCCGGAAACCCTCGACTCAACAGAAGAGATAATAATTTCAGAAAAGAAACGAAAGAAGAGATCTGTAACAACAAAAGAAGCAAGAGAAGTAATAATAATATCTTAAAATACACCAAATAAGTGAAAGGGAGTGCAATAATACAATCATATGCAAAACAACAAAATAGTGTGAACACAACATAGACCGCTACCAGACATAGGNCTATGTTGCGCGGACTCTCCAAAATGTAGCCGCACCCGTGTCGGATCCTTCAAAAATGCACTACTTTTGGAGGATCCGACACGTATTTGGCCATATTTTCGGAGAATCCGAGCAACATAGTGCAAAACAACAAAATAGTGTGAACACAACATAGACCGCTACCAGACATAGGCAAAACTCTATCAGACTACCCGATACAAAGAGGAAAAAACTATGAACTACCCCCTAGCCTACAACCCTAATGCTCAACCTCCACACGTTCCTATCAAGAGCCATGTCCTCGGAAATCTGGAGTCGCGTCATGTCTTGCCTGATCACCTCGCCCCAATTCTTCTTAGGCCGCCCTCTACCTCTTCTCGTACCTGCCAAAGCCAACCGCTCGCACCTCCTAACCGGGGAATCTATGGTTCTCCTCCGCACGTGTCCAAACCACCTAAGCCTCGCTTCTCGCATCTTGTCGTCCACGGGAGCAACGCCCACCTTCTCCCGAATATCTTCATTCCTTATCTTATCCAGTTTAGTATGCCCGCACATCCATCTCAACATCTTCATCTCGACTACTTTCATCTTCTGGATATGTGAATTCTTAACTGGCCAACACTCAGCCCCATATAACATAGCCGGCCTAACCACCGCTCTGTAAAACTTACCTTTGAGTTTCGGTGGTACCCTCTTGTCTGCTAACCGTCATTTCATCCACCCACCCCACCCCAATGCGGTGTGTGACATCCCCGTCAATCTCCTCATCTCCCTGGATAATAGACCCTAGGTACTTGAAACTTTCTCTCCTGGGGATGACTTGTGAGTCGAGCCTCACCACCCCGTCCGCTTCCCCCGACACGCCACTGAACTTACACTCCAAATATTCTATCTTGGTCCTACTCAACTTGAAACCTTTGGACTCCAGAGCCTGCCTCCATACCTCCAGTCTCTCATTAACACCGCTATGCGACTCATCAATCAGAACTATATCATCAGCGAACAACATACACCATGGCACCTCCCCTTGAATATGGTGTGTCAAGGCATCCATCGTCAGAGCAAATAAGAATGGGCTAAGCGCAGATCCTTAGTGTAACCCCATAATCACCGGAAAAAGCTCGGAGTCACCTCTCGCAGTCCTGACCCAAGTCTTAGCTCCATCATACATATCTTTTATCGATTCAATGTATGCTACCAGCACCCCTTTCACTTCCAGGCATCGCCAAAGAACGTCCCTAGGGACCCTGTCATACGCCTTTTCTAGGTCAATAAACACTATGTGCAAATCCCTCTTCCTCTCCCTGTGTTGTTCCACCAACCTAAGGTGGATAGCTTCCGTAGTAGAACGTCCCGGCATGAACCCGAACTGATTTTTAAAAATAGATACCGCCCTCCTCACCCTCCCTTCCACCACCCTCTCCCAAACTTTCTTGGTATGACTTAACAACTTGATGCCCCTATAATTATTACAATTCTGGATATCACCTTTGTTCTTAAACAACAGAATCATCAAACTACATCTCCACTCATCTGGCATCCTCTTTGTCTTGAAAATAACATTAAACAACCCAGTCAGCCATTCTAAGCCCGCTCTACCCACATACCTCCAAAATTCTCCTGGAATCTCGTCTGGTCTTGTCGCTTTGCCCCGACTCATCTTACCCACAGCTCCCACTACTTCCTCAACCTTGATACGCCTACAGTACCCAAAGTCTAGGCGCCTCTCGGAGTGTCCCAACTCCCCTAATGCTACCGCTCCCCTCTTACATAAGGAGAAAGCATGGGGGGAAATATTATTGATTAATACTCTATGTTACAATGAGCCCTATTTATATGTATTCACAACGCATAACCTACTCCTATTGCATAAGGGACTAGGACTAATTACATATATTCACATAACTATTCTAACAAATGTAAGACAGTAATTAGCACTCATCATTTTGACTCTAAAAATCTAACTGTATGTCTAACCGTGTGATCAAGATTTGATACAGTGCTTGATTGTGCCACACGCTTAATATCCTCAACATCGCCTTCAGCATAAGCAGAGAGAAATTTACCAGCACAGCGACCTTGATCGCTATTCAGGAAAACTTCAACCCTACAAAGAAGAGCCAACAACCGTGTCTTTAGTAGGATAAGAATTAACCTGATAAAATCATGAGTAAACTAAAAATATAAGAGAGGTTATCGATACCAGAAGCAAACATGAGCTTGAAAAATAAAACTGTCTATATAGATTCATCAATCTGAGAAAGATAAACATGAAAAGCTGAATAGGTAGGGGTACACAGAAGCCTAACAATTTTAGCCGTCCATTCCTTGTTGACCCTCTTCCCTTAGCATAATGTCCCAGATGCTCAACTCAGAAAAATAAATAAGAATTAAAGGAAAATACTCTAGGCCAATATAGAAGGATATTAGACAAAGGCAAGTATCTGGAGGTCCATAGTCGGTAGTTCTTTTCTTCTACTATCACCTGTTTACTACATATTCAAACAACAAACTCTTCCCACTTAGATATGCGACTCACATACTAATTGTGTGATTTGCTGAAGCCTTACAGCAAGAATAGAGGAGAAAACTTGTACAATTAGCTTACAGGACGTTCATTTACTGCTCTATCACAAAGGGAACAAATATCGAACCAGTGAACAAAAATTTGCAGCAGCACATTTATTCAGATATTTAAAAAAACTCTATATTAAATAGGAGCAAGCTGAACTCTTGTAGTAACCATCAGTCCTTTTCAATAAAACTTGTTCTATGACAGAACTAAACAACATTTACGTTAACCATGCATGTGGAAGATCCGGGGTATGATTTCGAATAATGAGCGGATATGGAGTGCAACAGGAGAAATACAAGCTAAGAAGGATCTAAGAAGATGGACTCTAAGATTCTAGGGACTTGATGAGGATATTATAATCCAGAGATGCCTATTTATTGGCTAATCCAGATTTAACTAAGTCTGACTAACCCAGGTGAAAGTAGTATGGGATCTGGCACTCCTAGACTTAAAGATAAGGAAGTAGATTAATGTAACTGGGCTAAACAAGGTTGAAGAAGTTGCCTGCCAAAGGGCACTAGAGAAAATGCATTGAAATGGTAAAAGCATCAATCACATCATTGTAAGCCTCATCCTTGGATCATTGTGTTGGAAAACTCAAAGAACGCTTTTGGACCTGCCTATTTTTTGGGTTTTCTCCATACAAGACATATTTCCTTAACCACAAACACCATAAAGAGATGTGCAAATGAAAAAGGGAATGCTAAACAATGAACTTCACTAGAGAAAGATTGTATTGCACTAGAACCTGTGCAAAGATTCAATGGGACTGAACACATCCAGGAACTGGTTTAAACTTTAAAATGCATATGTATTGAGATAAGTACGACATTTAAGTGCAGTAAAACTAAATAAATAATCCACGCAAAGCAATAATGGTGGTAAAGCAGCTAACTTGAACTAGCTGACAACTAACTGAGCATGCCATCCCTACTTGTTAGGCACGCGTATATCAGTACATGAGATAGTTCTCTTCTTTTTTAAGGAGTGCACACGATATTGTTAGTTTCTCTATTTGAGTATATGGGTCCACATGGAGTGATATACTCATAATAAGAAATTAAAATTCTCAATTTCAATGGTCTAATGGTTATTATCTGCATGGTAAACTTCCTCTGCTGCCAAGCTACCGGGAAGCAGTCTAAAATGAAAAAGGAAACAAGGCCAGCCATGCTACAAAGCTTTGAAAAGATGAACAAGAAAGAAAAGATGCTGGTCAGTACACAAGAACTATAAGCATCAAAGAAAACTACTTTTTCCTATTCGTTAGATCTCATTTCCCCTATACTATTTGCTTTCCTCCTTTCCCACCTAATAAAATATGATTCTTTTTTTCCATCAAACCAACTTTCAAGCTTTAAGCTCCTGCAATGGACTTCGCTTGTCAGATCTCGTTTCACCTTCTCCATATGCTTTCCTCCCATTCCACCTAGTAAAACTTTTATTCTTTTTTCCATCAAAACTAAATCTCATACATAAAAATTTTTAATGGATTCCACTTGCTCTTGACTTCCAATTCTAGCGGTGAAAAAGTAAAACAATACATATGGAGAATTAGAAAAATAATTCTTGTAGCGCATAATCACTTAAGTCATGATCATAAAGGTACACAAAAAGGGAAAATCAACATACTTGAGCTGATGAAATACATAAGTAACTTACTGACAACAATCATTGTAGCACTTTTCCGCTTGCCTAAAGTCATGGGCATATAGGTACACAATGATTGCACTAAGATAAGCCTGCAAACAAATGATTAGTTTAGCAATTGCTGAAAGGTTGAAACCTTCACTTAGCAGAACAATTTTTCAAGTATTTTAACACTATATATATCTTTATTGATAAAAAAATTATTTTAACGTTGTATCAAAAATTTATGCCCGCATTAATCACGAGGAGACAAGTCATGGATGATGAGTTAGATAAGGATCAACAGATCGTTACAGAGAACCTGAGATACCCACTCCAACATTCAAGCACGTGTTAACCAAGGACTACTATTCTCTAAGAAAAAGAAAACTGAAACAAAAAGAAAATACAATAAGGCCCATATAAACTGAAACCATAATCACATCCTCCCGAGACGAGACTACTTCCTCAGTAGCTCAAAGAATTGGCTGAAATGAGAAGATAATGTTAACAACACCAACAAGGACAAAGTGAAAACAGCAAAAAGAGGCAAGAGGGAAAAAAGAAAGAAAGTGACCAAAAAGGGTGGAAGAAAAAAGCATACATAGAAATCTTAGCAATATATATATGAGCCCATAAGTTCGATTATATCATTATTATGTGGAAAATCAAAAACAAACCAAAAGATCCAAATTTCCCATATTCTAAACCGAAACCAATCCCATAACTGAATAAACTCAGTCCAAATAATCCGAAGAATGCAATCAGCTTTATTGTTAAAGCCGAAAAATGCACACGGCTACAGATCACTCCTTAAAAATGTCTAAGAAAAGAAAACTAAAACATAAGCAGCAGATGTAAAGTTTAGGCACAAAAAAAAAGACACAAGGGTAGACGAACTACAAGAGAGGCCACATCAATATCGCTGCCATTGGCTCCTACATACATATGCAATTGACGGACAAAAGAATGGCAAGGGAAATGCAAGAGA